TCCCCCCCCCCCCCCCCCCCAAAAAAAAAATAAATAAATAAATAAAAGAATTGCTCGAGTGAAAACACATTGATCAGATACTCAAAGGATGTCTCCAGCATTTATGCAAACAACTAACAACAATAGGAAAAAGGAGATACCACGACAGCAAGTTACCTGCATTGATAACACTAACTCGGCATTGGCATCAGGAGCTGGAATGGCTCGGGACTCTCTTGTTCCACACTTTTCAAGGTCATACCTGTGACCCTTGCTTCCGCCTGCTGCATGTCTACAATTTCAACCGATAAAGGTTATCAGTATATACTGTTGAAGTAGTAAATATTTTTGTTGCACTCTAAGATGGTATCAAAGGTAAGTCTTGGGGGCCAAGTCTCCTAACTATCTGAATTTCCCGGTATGCATGTTTTTTTGTAAGTTAGCCTGATGTGCGAGTCTGGATCCCACTTGAGAGGGAGGGTGTGAGAGAGCTTGTATTAAATAGTTAAGAGGGGCTTCTCCAATCATTACTAATTGATTTTGAGTTGGACTTCTCTAACATGGAAGCAAGTGGTTTTGCATACGACTCTCGCCGTCACCAAGATCATTATAAGACCTGCATGTGCTTGGCATAAAATCTGGCGTGCAAGTGAGGGGCGTGATGAAGTATATCTAGATGTATATGTTACACCTTCTCTAAAAACTTAAATTTTTAAATAAGTTGGCGGTTAAACATAAAATATTCTTACCAGCCAAGGCAGAGGTGAAGTTTTGATGAGAGAGAAAAAGATAGAGAGACAGCGAGAGGGAGGGTTGGGCTTGGAGGAGGAGGACGAGGATCATTGGCAGGTGCCTCAAGAATGAACATTTAACTTCAAGAAATACTAAAATAAAACAACTTGGACCAGGAATCCATTTTCTGATTCAGGTATTTTCAAAAGGGTATGAAATCTGAGGCAGAAGAACTTTTAAATCTCAATATTACTACTACAGTAAACCCAACACCAAAAGCAACTCTTGAGCACAAAATGGACTAGACAAATCTAGATTGATTGCTTAAACAATAATGCTAAAATATCCGCTCGTCCTAAAGTAAATTTCAAACTTGCCAGCAATGAGTAAATAAGAAGCCTTAAGGACCCCAGTTGCAAAGACAGTTTGCACAGCCTGTTTTAAACAAATTAAAAGAACATGAGGAAGGTCTTGAAATTAGCAAAAATATTTCCTTAATGTGGTTGGTTCAGGTTGTAAGAGATGGCTTCAATATAAAACAATAACAAGAATTATATAAGAGCATGCACCTTCTAGACTCTTCATCCCGGAATTTTGCATCAAACTCTTTGCTGGGAGGATACCTTGGCAAGCTTGAAGGATCAGAGGGAAGGGGCTTTGTCGCAAAGAACTGCAAAAAAAAATCTAATTAATAGACAACTACAATAATCACTCTCATGAGGGTAAAAAAGAAATTGGTTCCATGATACGAAAAATCAGAGTTTTCAATGTTTTACCATAATAGCCCATAACCAGAGTGTCAGAATCCAATGTGGTGGATCTTAAGAGAGTGGATATCCAGCATGTTCACATGGCATATTCATATTTGCTTCTTAATAATTAATCTATTTCCTAATTGAAGGCTAATAAGAAAAAATATCAAGACTGTATACGTTAACCAAAAGTAGAAAGTAACAGCAAATTCCTAGCAAAAATAAGTAGATAACTGTCAGTGGGATGTAGTATAGGTTCACATGCTTGTACCCCAAGTACAAGCATACCCATTTCCCATGGCTATAGGAATTGTACAAGATCAAGTCGACATCCTTGATAAGAACTTAAGCGAAACTGATGCTGCTAACTAGTGGCAGAAGGTAACATGTCTAACCACTAGGTAACCATAGTATTCGCCTCCGCAACGTACTCCCAACATTTTATAATTACTATATAACATGTTCGTATATCTCGCTGCCAAATATAGTCCAACACAACAATACCAGCCAATGCTCATTGCTATAGACTAATATTTTATTAATGTAGTCCTAGAATGATATTGACATTAGAAGGGGCTAAGGCACCGTTATGGGCAACTTTTCTTGCTGGTTGATTCTCCTAAAGGTTAATAACTAACTCGTGATGAATCTAGTTTTGCAAGTTTTTATTATTTGTTTTATGTACGTGCTATTCTAGAGAAATAAGTCACATTTTACACGGAAATGTGATACCTCACTCTTCAGAGCAGATGCTGCAGATCCACGATCAGCAGGATCTATACTAAGCAGGGTCTCCATCAGCGCTAATGCTGAGGCTGGGAAGTCTTTAAATGTTTCTGCAACACAGCGTCTATAAGGTTGTTGAGGCTTGAAGATGGTTGCATGTGGTAACTTTGATTTTTTCCAGAACTCCTCAGAGGGAGAGCCACAAAGCTTGAAAATTTTATGCAACTGCTCGACCTACGTGGTAGGAAAGTACACTCTTAGTAACAGCATCACATTAAGACATACCAAATGAAGCAGACTCGATTAATAATTGAGGATAGTAGTACTGATATTCGGTCTAATGTCCAAGTTAAATAGAATATCTGGAGGATATTAATTAGCTTCATCTAAATTACAAGCTTTAGGGAACCAAGAAAATGAAGATCCAATAGAAAAATAAAAAATTAATGTCCAAATTCAAATACGTCACTTGAAAAATAGTATTCTCGGTTCGACATTTCATTCATAAAATTCCAAGTGAAATTCTAATAGAAACTCATTGGCAATAAAAAAATCCAAGTATTATCGTCAAAAAAGTGTTTCCCCTAGCAGTAAATCAGTAGCCTCCACCTTCCAAACTCCCTCAGTGACATGTTGCAACCACCATCAATTTCTTCTTCATTTTTTTTTTTTGTGTCTTCCTTTTTTCTCTCTTTTTTTAAAGTTTTATTTTTTTTGTTCTTTTGATATCAATCCTATACTTAAGGCAGCAACAACTGAATAAACAAGGTACCTCTGTTCTTCCGGGCATGATAGGCTTGCCAGCATATAATTCAGCTAGTATGCAACCAGTACTCCATAAGTCCACAGCAGTATCATAATATGTGGCACCAAGTAGAAGCTCAGGTGGCCGGTACCAGAGTGTCACAACACGGCTCGTCAGAGGCTGACTTTGACCAGGATCAAAGAAGCTTGCCAGACCAAAGTCTGCAATCTTCAAAATGCCATTGTTGTCAATTAGAAGGTTGGAACCTTTAATGTCGCGATGTAGAACACCACAACTATGACAATGATCAAGTCCACGTATAAGTTGCTGCATGTAACATTTGACCTGGAAAAAATAATTAACCAAAACCTAAGACTTTCCGTGGTAACTAAGAATACTAATAAACATAAGATCCATCTGCACTCAAGTACTACAGACACATGGAAAACACATGCTCATTGCAGCAATGCGGGAGAGGGAATGGGAGTAAGAAAAAAACACCTCTAACTCACAATTTCATTTACTAAAATAAACTTCCCATAAGTACCTGTGATTCTGTAAACTTAAGACCAGGGTGTGATGCGAGCCCCGCTAGATCATGCTCCATGTACTCAAAAACAAGGTACAAACTGCAAGACATCCTAGACGTAACTAGACCTTCCAACTTTATTACATTTGGATGACCAAGCCTACGTAAAATGAGAATTTCCCTTGCCATGAAACGAACACTCTCAGGCTCCAGGTTATCAAACCTGACTTTCTTCAAAGCAACAATTTTCCCTTGATCAAGATCGCGAGCACGATAAACATTGCTGTAAGTACCCTGACCAATCTGCGAAAAATGGAACTATTATGTCAATACCACATAACAACCAACCAATAGGGTCGACTAATGCGGGGAATAAATGGGTCAAAGAATGTTCCAATATCATACGTACTAGTGGCATGACATGCATTGAACAAACAGATCTTNTGTTCTTTTGATATCAATCCTATACTTAAGGCAGCAACAACTGAATAAACAAGGTACCTCTGTTCTTCCGGGCATGATAGGCTTGCCAGCATATAATTCAGCTAGTATGCAACCAGTACTCCATAAGTCCACAGCAGTATCATAATATGTGGCACCAAGTAGAAGCTCAGGTGGCCGGTACCAGAGTGTCACAACACGGCTCGTCAGAGGCTGACTTTGACCAGGATCAAAGAAGCTTGCCAGACCAAAGTCTGCAATCTTCAAAATGCCATTGTTGTCAATTAGAAGGTTGGAACCTTTAATGTCGCGATGTAGAACACCACAACTATGACAATGATCAAGTCCACGTATAAGTTGCTGCATGTAACATTTGACCTGGAAAAAATAATTAACCAAAACCTAAGACTTTCCGTGGTAACTAAGAATACTAATAAACATAAGATCCATCTGCACTCAAGTACTACAGACACATGGAAAACACATGCTCATTGCAGCAATGCGGGAGAGGGAATGGGAGTAAGAAAAAAACACCTCTAACTCACAATTTCATTTACTAAAATAAACTTCCCATAAGTACCTGTGATTCTGTAAACTTAAGACCAGGGTGTGATGCGAGCCCCGCTAGATCATGCTCCATGTACTCAAAAACAAGGTACAAACTGCAAGACATCCTAGACGTAACTAGACCTTCCAACTTTATTACATTTGGATGACCAAGCCTACGTAAAATGAGAATTTCCCTTGCCATGAAACGAACACTCTCAGGCTCCAGGTTATCAAACCTGACTTTCTTCAAAGCAACAATTTTCCCTTGATCAAGATCGCGAGCACGATAAACATTGCTGTAAGTACCCTGACCAATCTGCGAAAAATGGAACTATTATGTCAATACCACATAACAACCAACCAATAGGGTCGACTAATGCGGGGAATAAATGGGTCAAAGAATGTTCCAATATCATACGTACTAGTGGCATGACATGCATTGAACAAACAGATCTTTATTCTAACTTGCATAATTGTTATGACATATTCAGAGGACATGTTTGACCAGAAAACTAGAATCGAGCTCCTTTTCAAGAACCCTGCATCTATGGTACAGTTCAACAGAAAAGGTCTCATCTAAACTTCGAAGCAACACACCTATGAAAACTTGACAAAATCTTAACTAGCGCACAACCGATTGCAACACCACCTTTAAGACGTCTTCGACTGCCTAGCTTTCACACAAAGGGGCCCAACTGTGCTTATATGGAATAAAAAAAACTTTTTAGGTGAGCAAATACCAGAGGACAAACTATAATCGACAACTGTTTTATGATTCATTTTGCCAACTTTTAAAGATATCTTCTGTCCTTGCTTTAGGTCTGCATAAATGAACGAACTTCCAGATGGCATATTTCAAGAATTAAAGAGGAGGCCCCTCCAATCCTCTGTTTTCCTTATTTTACCCTGATGAAGTTTATACTTATGTTCAAAATAAATCATCCTGGATATTTTTGGACAATGTATGGGGTGTATATGAATCTCACAATGGTATTCATTTGAACTAGATGTCATAGTATAGTGATAAAAAATTGTTAAAATTTTCCGATAATGGTTAAAAGATGTCGAATGATGATCTATGAAACTACCACCTCCTTGGTTAAGGCCAACATAACAGTGGCATCTCACAACGGGATTTGTTTGCACTTATCCTGTATACCTGTTAAAGTTCCTTCTCAACCAAAATTCTGTTAACTGCATCAACAATGAGCAAATATTCATTTGTTTGATGGCAGAATACATTTACTAAATGTCTTAGTTTCATTGGGAAGAATAATTATCAAAGTTGGAACTTTCAATTGTATATATCCTAAAACCATTTCTTACCACCAATACCTTTTTTATAAGAATTTCTTACAAACAAATAACTGCATTCTCTTGATAAAAAAAAATGCAAAGTTATAGTAAGTGAAGAAAACATCATACTTTATCCAGCTTCTCGAAAGAATCCGCCCGTCTGGGTACCCATCCTCTGATAGCTTCACCAGCAACCGCAGCCAGCCACGGGGGCCACCCTGCTGCAACCTGCTCCCCCTCGTTAGCTTTTGGAAGGCTGCCCATAACATGATGGTGCGAGGCAGCAATATAATCAGTCTTCTCCCTTCTTCTCTCAAGATTATCACCATGTAACGGAGCCGAACCATTCACATGCTTATCAATCAACGTTACGCTCCCATCATTGCTGTCATACCGATCCTTTACTCTATAACCTTCATCTCTTCTTGATGAAACCGCCCGCGGCACCCTCAAATCCGAGGAGGTTTTACTCGATAACCTTTCCCTTGGACTCTCCCTAATATCGTCAATGGCAGAGGGCTTACAGCAAACAGAACCCATTATACATCAAAACTACAATAATAAAAAAAGAAACACTCAAACCCACCTCCCAAAATCAAATCTTTTCGCCCCCATAGCACCATTCATTTCCACAAGCTCCTTTTCTTCCAAGTCCATTGCAATCAAACCCAACCACTAAACCAACTTCATCCCAAGATGCAACTCCCCCAACTCATACATGCATCAGCAACACCAATATATACTATTTAGCAATTGAAACCAACTCACTCAAAAACCAGAAAGTTCTTCTTCTCCATTTTCACCACAATCAAAATCCAAAGAAGGAAAACAAATTTAATACAAGATTCAACTCAAACAAACCCATACTGGCACACGCCACCAAATTTCTTACCACATGGAACAAATGAAACTAACACATCACTTGCTTATTCAAAATCAAAACATGTAACCACAAATCAGTGAAATCTGCAAGAAAAATGAAATGGGCTCGACACATAATACCTTGAAATCACTATATAATTGGTGTAATTGACAGTTTACTCACTGGGAGTGATCTAGCCGTCTGGGGTTCGGGGAGCTGGGAAGAGGGAAGGCATGGATCTAGGGCATGGATTTGTGTATGCACAGAGAGATCTGAAACAATTAATTACTGAAAGTGTTAAAAATGTCTGTTCATTTCCTTATGGTGTATTTATAGATTCTGACCACCAGGCAGCTTTTTTATTAATTCACGAGAGAGAGGAGAGAGGCCCAACGTGTTGCTGCGACATTCTCCTTCCTGTATTATGTGCACCACCACGCGCACCGAAAGAACACTGAATCCATGACAGCTTTTATACTACTATTTCGTTTTCGGTTATTTTAAGCTTATCTTCCTCTTGGATTAACATCAATCCCTCTCTGTACTGTATTAGTAATATTTGTGTTTAAAGATATTATATTATTTATAAAAAATAATAAATATTTATTCATAAATAAACATAATGTATTATATAATTTTAATAATAATATAATGATCAAATTAGTATTATTCAATATATAATCAAACATTTATATAATAAAAGGCACGTTATAACTACTAAAATTTATTAATTGAAACATTTGAGAAAATATAATTATTATTGATTGTAATTTCAACATTTTTAATGTATTTTATCTCAAATTTTAAAATATTATAACTATTTATTTTTCTACAATTTTTTACTTAAAAGTTCATAACATTATCTCTACATCATTTTTTCAGTGCGAGTTTATGTAACTTTTGTGAGGAAATCATCCCAACAAATTTGTTGAGAAATTAAGATCAGTTTTTATTTGAGTTCAACTTGAATATTTATAAAAATCAATCGAATTTAAGTTTAAATAATAATTTATATTTTACATTCAATAGTCAAATTCAGCTCAATTCGAGCGTTAATCATAATCGCAGTAAATCGAGAATTAAATTTAAAGTTCGACTCAATTAACACTTATATTTTAAACCTACAAACTAATTCTTATTTATTCCCGTTCACAGTGATACTATAATTTTTTTAAAATTTATTTATTTATTTATTATTTTTATAATCAATTTCAATTTAACTTCAACTTGAATACTCGAAAAATTTAAGCAAAATTATGTTCAAGTAAGAATATATACTTTATACTCAACAATTAAATTTAGCTCAATTCAAATTCTAATAATAATCATTTTGAATCGATAATCAAGTAAAATAAAAAGATTCTTATAATTTTTAAGTGGAAAAATTTTTTGGAGGAGTAGCTAGATCTTTTGATAAATAAACTTAAAATAATCTGAGCCGTGAAAAGTTCAGCACAAATAATACTAGTTCCCTTATTATATAAATTATTAGGTCTTATATAAATATGTCTAAATCACTTAAATTGATTATTTCTTAATTTATCTCTTTTAAATGCTAGTTTTACGATTTTACGAATATACTCATTTCTAATTCTTGTATTTTTTGTTTTAACACACATCCATTCCTTATCTATGTAATACTCATTTTGTATTTAAATTGCCCCACATTTTCGTCCCATAAAAAAAATGGTTTTAATGGCAGTTGCATATGATTAGGAACCATAGATCTTGATTTAATGCATTTTTAGCCATTGATTATAAAATTGATAAAGTAAAATATAATAAACACATATTCTCAAACAGAGTAATAGTTGCAGTCATGATCAATATATTATCTGGGGCCTTTTCTTCAAAAAATAAAATAAAATAAAATAAAAAATAGAATACTTGTACACATGCGCCTTTTGAGTCGCGTGCGTGCAGCTAAAATTTACTCACTGCTTCCTCCACAAAAAAGCAGTATTGGTTTGCTGAACCCCCACAGGTCGTTGGGTTTTCCACAACTCTCTCTATCTCTCTAGTTCTTGTGTCTCATAAATGTTGTTAGGTGGGGTGATTACCATCCGAGTCACTTATTGGTCCTTCTAAAAGTTGATTGTTTTTTTGTGGTGGGGTCCTCACTTTATTCATGATGATCATGCGGTAGTGATTCGTTGATCATACAAACATTAATTATGTTTGGTATTTCAGAATTGATACAAGAAGGTAAATTAGTTTAATTTAACCTTTTCTCAAATAATAATTCCCCTATCAAAGACTAACTTTTTAATGTATAAGTTGAGTAAGTATGGTTAAAAAATTAAATTTAATATAGATTGAGTTACTATAATTAAAAAATTAAAATTTAAGATTAATTATACCGAAAATCTCTTAAATATGAGATTTATTTTATTTTAGTTCATAATATTTTAATTGTATCATTTTAGTCATTCAAGTATTAAATATATTTTTATGTGGTCTCGTAAACAAAAAAAATCTATATTGTTAATATTTTTTTATTATAAATTTATCACGTAATACGCAAACAAATTATTTAAATAAATCTTAAAATTGAACAAGACCCGATAAAAACCCTAATAGAACGTGGTCTGCAGTACATCATTAAGTCAACTTTTGGTTTAGAATTGTCTGGTGGAAGTGCACTGAGTTCTCATCACTACAGGGTATTGTAACGATAAGATAAACTCACTTTTACCCGAAATATGAGAAAAAATTAAATTATATTCGTAATTTGAACACGTGTACCGTTTATATTGTCAACTGTATGACTGGTAGGGTATTGAAATGGCTAAAGAAGAATTGAACTAGTTTTATTCAGGAGTAGTAGGATAAGGTCTGTGCACCAGAGGAGCATAAGATACTATCCTCAACTAGAACCTTGCAAGTGACTGTCCATATCCATTTAATTGACAGCAGCAGCTATCCATATTGATCATACATACATGCTTAAAATTTATGGCTGCGCTCTGTTTCTGTTGGACAGTAACGAGTGTGTGGGCCCAATTAAGACATGAATGGTTTTCGTTGGTCCCACCCTTTTGCTAATCTCTGTTACAGGTGGCCCCACCTTGGTCTGTGGATATCTCAATGCCAGTGGGGACACTTTTATATGCTCAGGTAGTAAGTATAAACAATGGGTTTTTGAAAACGAAGAAGACTAATCAACTATTCATTATCTTATCTAGGGGAATACTGATTACAATCGGTAGATAAAAAATTCTTAAGCTCGGGTGGGAAACAATACACTTAACTCAAATGAATTGAGTTAGATAACTTTATGGATCTCACTCAGTGAACTACTACTTTGTTGAGAGCCCTAGACTTGTGAACAAATATTAAATTAAGATCTTTAATAAAGTGTCTAATATCACAAACAAAAACACCGATTTTTCACGAAAGAATATTTTCAGTTGAGCTTAACTTAATCAATTCCAGATTATCACTTGCAATAGTCTCCCGTCATAACCTAGATTCACAGGCCAACAGACAAGCTCCACAAAGAGCAATTGCTTCCCAAAATCGCTAGAATATGCTTGGCAGCCTCCGACGTCCCATTACCCCTACTGCAGCACCACCCTTCTTGAAGGCGCCATCGCAACACACAGAATAATTATGGAACTGATCTGGACTAAGCACTTGATGAAGAGATAAGTATGGGTTGGCTTGACGAAAGAAGTGGGAATTTGAAAAATATGGGATAAATATAAGATGGAAAGAAATATTTTTGTTATCATTTGGTTCAACTCACTATTTTTTTTTCTTTTAATTTTGAAAAATAATAAAAATTTCAAGTATAAATACTTAAATTATTTTTTAGATTTCCTCGTGGCTTAAATTTTTAGATGAGTCTCTTTCACTCTCTCAACTAGCATACTCTTTCAAATCTTAAAAAATTATTTAAATTTGACTTATTTAAAAAATGAGTCGAATTTGAACGAACTGAACCTGAAGCGAATCTGAATATTTGCACATAAACAAGTAAAGCCTAGTGAGTTCGAGTCGAGTAAGTAAGACTTATTTTTTAAATAAATCTAAAAAATTATTCAAATTCGACTAGTTTAAATAACGGGATAAAGTTGAATGAGTTAAAAACAAACCAAACCAAACCTTTGTCTGCAAACAAAACGACCAAAGAGAAACATCATGTAATAATCTAAAGGGAAGCCATCACCATCATCACATGGTAACATGATAACATCAAAATCCACCAGATACCCAAACGGGTCCCGTTTGTAAAACCAGTAGGCAAGCAGTTGTTTTACAAGAAATATATCGATTTTGAGTTGTTTTCCTCAAGTATCACCATGATGACATTCGTTTTGGGTACGGCTCGAGTTTATTCGGGCTCTCGTTCGATTATTAATCCTTTATCATTTACCATTAATAAGAAATAACTTTTTTTATATGCAATGAATCTCACTTTACTTAATAGTTGATTCGTAAAAAAAATTAAAGATGTATTAAACGAACCACAATTTTTCCAAATTTCCAGGGTCAAAAAGCTTTACTCTTAGACATTGGAGGCTATGATATCTTTCGAGTTATCATAACCCCAAAAAGCAGTGAATTAGAGTTAAAAACTTATTTATGAATTATATTATTTGTGTCTGGATAAATTTAGCTCCTACTATACAATTCTAGTTTGATTTGACCTTTTCGCTCAAATTCGTTATTAGCTTTAACAAAAATTTTAACGTATACATAACACGTGGTATTTGAATAATAACTTAATATACGATTGTGCTCGTGACAATTTTTGTTACAATTAACGGCAAATTTTGACAGAAGGGTTACATTGAGTTAAATAGTATAATTTAAGGGTTAAATTGATAAAAAAAAAACATAATTTAAAGGCTTGATTGATATAAATGATATAATTCATGGCAAATAAGTAGTTATTACTCTATAATGTCCCCCTGAAAAAATAAAAAAATAAATGCTACACGTGTGTGGTATAAATGTGTACCCATTTCCGGTTTCAGAGGGTTAGGGTTTTGGATGCAAGGCTTTTCTTTGATCATTATCTCTCTCTCTCTCTATCGATCTCTATACCTTTCTTGAGATCATAAACTGAAATATGGATCAAAAGATATATAAGGGAATGTGTGCAAGCTCTGTGAAGGGGACAAATCAGTGATTTTGAAGGGTAGGGTTTAAGGGGTGTTTTTTTTTAGTAATTTCTTGCTGATTTATATTAACAAGCAGGGTGGGGCGGTTCAACAGTATTATCAAACAAACTTGAGCTTTAGGCCAATTTTTAAAGAAAGTCCCAAAATTTTAAAGATTATAAATAGTACACGTAAAAAAAATAAATTTATAAATATTTTAAGTCCTACAAAAAGGCCTTATAAAAATACAACCCTAATCAAAAAAAAAAAAAATTAAGGCCTCACTTCAAGGAAGATCCATAATTTATAAGTGTACAATAATAGTCCAAACAAAAAATTTAAATTCATGCCTAAACAAAATATTTCAACTTAAATAGATTGAACTTATTAATTCAGCCATAAAATTAAAAAGTCTTAAAATTTATTTTTTTAATTAAAGAAAAACAATTAACTGCAGAACTAAAGCTACTAAAAAAATCTAATTTTAACCCCCAAAAAAGTTAAGTTTAAACTCATTTATCATAATTTTTCAATCATTTTTTTCTCTCCCTTACCATTAAGTTCAAATACGGTAAAAGGTTAAGTTTAAACTTTCCATCATAAAAAGGACTCAATTACCGTTTTCGCTTTAGGCAGCAAAAAGTCTCGGTTAAAAACCCTCTGTATTTGGTGGAAGAAGTATGATGTATGATGTATCTAGTTTTGGATCATTTAGTTCAATTTACAATGAAATACTCTTTGAAAGTCATTTTGATCAAAGGGTCCCTCTATTTTCTAAATCCAATGCCAAAACTGAACTTTTGATCTAGGGATTCATCTGTGGGTTTGCTGTGATCATACATCTAAAGTTAGGATTGGGTTTGATGGGTTATGTTTTTCTCCTTATCTGTATTCTGCATTCTGCGGTGGGCTTGCTTGACTGGTGGAGCTCTCATGATGTTCTATACTAATGAGGTCTTTATTTTTAACCATGGCCGCGAAAATGCGAGTAAGCTTATGGGATCAACACCCCATGATCAGCTGTTAATCCATACCTCTGATTTGTTTTCCGGGCTGCTCTTGTTTGCTATTGGGTTTCTATTGTTCATGGTGTCATTTGTAAAGGACAGAGATTTTCAATGCTTCTTTGTTAAGGGTTGTGTGCTTCTTCATGTTGCCGTGGCAATTTGGAGGATTCACTTTGAGAGAAAGGTTGAAGATCTTGGCCGTGATTGGCTGAGGCTGGTTGTTGGGGACATTGCCTTGGGACTTTCATGGGTGGTCTTTCTTGTGTACTCTTGGAGGGAGAAGTATGATTAGTGTTAGATGGGACATGGATTTCATCTATTACAGAATCAGAGACTTAAAATGTTGGCTCAATGGCATCGTTGAATGTAACTGAATGATCTTGTTCTGCTGTTTGATTATGGGCTTTTTAGACCATGTTTAGTGCTGCGTTATTGGATATCGTCGCACCAGATAGTATCGCGTCTTGTGAATTTTAAGTGGTCTGTTCAGCTTTATTCTATAGGATGGTGAGGACTCTATTAAGGTGAAGTGGATACAGAATGCAGATTGGATGTTTGGTTTGAATATTTGCTTGAACTTCCTGTCTTTTGTCGAAGCTTTTTCATGGCTCAAATGATAATTTGAGAAGCCAATGGTTTTTTTCCCATGTCTCGGAGTATATCAAACGACATATGACTAATCGATAAATTGGATAGGATTTTGCTGTTAATGGGATCGAGATTTCGCAGGCTGTGGCTACATCAGACGAAATTTGCTTAGTTTCTTTTCCCTTAAACACTACAAAATTGTGTTCCTATTGCCTGTATGCAGTTGGTTAACTCCATTGTATATTTTGCTTGAAAATAATAACGAAATGTGTGAACTTTTGCTGCAGCTCTTATGCTTTCTTTCTTGGTTGAATGCTGCTTGCTCTTGTGCTGATTGTGAGGTTGATGGATGTTATCTTTGAAGCATTGCCATTTGAAATGCTTGATCAGAGTCTTACTGAATCCTTGAAACCTTAATATTATTGATTGAAACTGTTCTATTATACCCCTCCTCTGGAGTTTGAGAGTTTCATTTTATTTACATTTTTCCAAACTCATTCAAAACCTAGATTTTGATGGTGTTGAACTAGCTATGAGCAAACAAGGTATTTGGTTTGCATGACCTTTTCCACCATCAGAACTTTTGATTATTTACAAGTTTTCGTTTGACTTTTGTGCTGTTCTCTCCTAGCTGAATAAAAACTACATCATAGACAACCTTTTTGGGAAGGAGTAACAAAACAACCCAATGAAGCTTTTCTCCCTCATATTTCATGCTGTTTGTCAACTTCCTACTTAGAAAATAGAAAATCGTATCGATCATGCTCATTTTATGATTACAAATATAAATTCAAATTTTTTGCAACCACAAAAACTCGAGAACTTGCAAGAATTTGCAAAGATGCGACTTTATTAAAAAGCTAAAAACATCAATTTATTCACCAAAAAGAAAAGAGAAATAGAACGGTACCGTAAAACTCTCGAATGGTGAATAGGTCTCACACTGCTAGATCTAACTCTCCTCTAATATTTATTTTTGTCCAATTCTTTTCCGGATGAATTATCTATCATTAATGACTAACGGACTTACTTGAATACAATGGATCCACCAATAAAGAAGTTGAAGAGAAAAGATATTAAAAGATGTCACTTCTGTTCAGCTTCATACTGCCGTGGCAACTATTAGTGCAATATTACAATTATGAATGGTACCCTAGAGGATAGAGAATAGTACCCCAGGGGTATTCATGGGCTGGGCTAGGCCGGCCGGGCTCAGCCCATAAATTTTTTTTTTTGGTAGAGTAAGTTTAAATTTTTATTTAAGTGAGTTATTAGTCGGACTTGATTGAGCTGGGATAAGCTATCAACAGCCCAACCCACGTTACCCACCACTCATTGAGCGGGCCTATGGGGAGAGGGGCTTGCGGACGAGCCTACTGAACAAGTTTTTTATATATAATTTTATTTAAAAATAATAAATATTTTTTTAACTTAATATTATTGTAAATTATATTTTTGAATTAAAAGTAGAGTCAAAATAGACAAAAAATAAATAACGAATAATTTTATTTATAAATAGGAGAAGAACTCCGTTACAATAGAATGAACACATCATAATTAGATTGACATCTATCCACCTATATATCATTTGCACAATTCTATCCATTAAAACGTGTATGTTTAATACATGAAAAAGAAATGAATAATTATTTATAATATCTAAAATTTTAAAACTTTGAATTTATGTAATGAATGACTCTTTTACATGTTTTGACTGGATTAGGTGGACGGATTCTTGGACCAGCTTTTAACGGACTGTTGCAAACGCGTTATTAGGACGAATAATAGATTTGGGGCAAGTTAAAATCTTCTCTTGAAAGATGTTTGCGCACCGGTTCAAGCGGTCCAACTATTAAATCTATCAAGTTTGAGACTTATTTTTTTGAAAGAATTACACTTTAATCTCCTGANAGGGTTTTGGATGCAAGGCTTTTCTTTGATCATTATCTCTCTATCTCTATACCTTTCTTGAGATCATAAACTGAAATATGGATCAAAAGATATATAAAGGAATGTGTGCAAGCTCTGTGAAGGGGACAAATCAGTGATTTTGAATTTGTTTTAATTAAAGAAAAAAAAATTAACTGCAGAACTAAAGCTACTAAAAAAATCTAATTTTAACCCCCCAAAAAAGTTAAGTTTAAACTCTTTTATCATAATTTTTCAATCATTTTTTTCTCTCCCTTGCCATTAAGTTCAAATACGGTAAAAGGTTAAGTTTAAACTTTCCATCATAAAAAGGACTCAATTACCGTTTTCGCTTTAGGCAGCAAAAAGTCTCGGGCCACCCCTGTTAAAAACCCTCTGTATTTGGTGGAAGATGTATGATGTATCTAGTTTTGGATCATTTAGTTCAATTTACAATGAAATACTCTTTGAAAGTCATTTTGATCAAAGGGTCCCTCTATTTTCTAAATCCAATGCCAAAACTGAACTTTTGATCTAGGGATTCATCTGTGGGTTTGCTGTGATCATACATCTAAAGTTAGGATTGGGTTTGATGGGTTATGTTTTTCTCCTTATCTGTATTCTGCATTCTGCGGTGGGCTTGCTTGACTGGTGGAGCTCTCATGATGTTCTATACTAATGAGGTCTTTATTTTTAACCATGGCCGCGAAAATGCGAGTAAGCTTATGGGATCAACACCCCATGATCAGCTGTTAATCCATACCTCTGATTTGTTTTCCGGGCTGCTCTTGTTTGCTATTGGGTTTCTATTGTTCATGGTGTCATTTGTAAAGGACAGAGATTTTCAATGCTTCTTTGTTAAGGGTTGTGTGCTTCTTCATGTTGCCGTGGCAATTTGGAGGATTCACTTTGAGAGAAAGGTTGAAGATCTTGGCCGTGATTGGCTGAGGCTGGTTGTTGGGGACATTGCCTTGGGACTTTCATGGGTGGTCTTTCTTGTGTACTCTTGGAGGGAGAAGTATGATTAGTGTTAGATGGGACATGGATTTCATCTATTACAGAATCAGAGACTTAAAATGTTGGCTCAATGGCATCGTTGAATGTAACTGAATGATCTTGTTCTGCTGTTTGATTATGGGCTTTTTAGACCATGTTTAGTGCTGCGTTATTGGATATCGTCGCACCAGATAGTATCGCGTCTTGTGAATTTTAAGTGGTCTGTTCAGCTTTATTCTATAGGATGGTGAGGACTCTATTAAGGTGAAGTGGATACAGAATGCAGATTGGATGTTTGGTTTGAATATTTGCTTGAACTTCCTGTCTTTTGTCGAAGCTTTTTCATGGCTCAAATGATAATTTGAGAAGCCAATGGTTTTTTTCCCATGTCTCGGAGTATATCAAACGACATATGACTAATCGATAAATTGGATAGGATTTTGCTGTTAATGGGATCGAGATTTCGCAGGCTGTGGCTACATCAGACGAAATTTGCTTAGTTTCTTTTCCCTTAAACACTACAAAATTGTGTTCCTATTGCCTGTATGCAGTTGGTTAACTCCATTGTATATTTTGCTTGAAAATAATAACGAAATGTGTGAACTTTTGCTGCAGCTCTTATGCTTTCTTTCTTGGTTGAATGCTGCTTGCTCTTGTGCTGATTGTGAGGTTGATGGATGTTATCTNCTCGTTTGGATCAGGGATGGACTATATGTATTGGACGGTAGACGTATACGGTGATACCCGTATAAACCCATGCAGGAATGAAAGCGGAGATAGACTTACCCCTACCCCCGACCCGTCCCCGTCACCGTTACCTGTTATATATATACATATACAAATATCAGTATGACATTATTAGTTACATCTGTAAATCTTGCATTAATAATTTTATAATTTAAAGTTAAAGTTAACATTAATAGTTCATGTTTCACTGTAGTATAATTTAAAGTTAGCATTAACAGTTGTGATAATTTTATTTAATTATGAAAATATTGTTCATTATTATTTAAATTTTTTGTTTGTTATATATAATGTTGTTGAATTATGTTAGCTTGAATTTAGGCTTGGACTTGAGTGGATACGGGAGAAGTAATAATAAAAATGAGGTTAAAAATTATATTCGCTAACAAAAATAAATCGAAAATGAACAAAAAATTTTTTAAGCCGGTACGGAGACGTAGAATGTTCCCCGCCTCCGCTGCGGTCCATTAACATCTCTAATTGACACCCCTCCAGTACTCCCGCGCTAGAAAGAGACTCTGCGGCGCTGGAACGCGAGACGTGATACAGGAGGCCTTGAGTCTTGACCGTTACAACCCATCACAAAAACCACAAGCTCAAAATCTCTTCTGGATATCTCTTAGAACCCTAAAATCAAGATCAAGAAAAACGAAAGGTATGTCTTTTTATAAAAAAAATCGTTTTTCTTTTGATTGGGATATGCGTATTTCACTGATGATCCAATGTCTTGCTTGTAATCCCCAGAAGATTTTTACTCTGGCTCTGTGAATCTCTGTAGTTTTACTATTTCTCTTGATATTCTTGAGCTTGTGGGTATCGTTGTGCTAGCTTTATTGATGTTTTGGGGTTTAAGTATTTCTGGGGTGGATATGTATGAAATTCATGACAGTATTAACTTTGTTAGTTGTTTCTGTATCATATTAAGGTTTTTGGGTTTATGTTCTTGCTGACTTCTTGTTTTTTTTTTTTGCCTTTTTTCAATTTTTCCTTTTTTATGGGATTTCATGTTCTTCAAGAGTTTTATTTAGGCTTTGTTGTCCCTTAATCAATGTCGGCACCATGTATAGAAGACAGGTTAAGTGCTGTAGAGGGGAGATGTGCAGAGAGAAAAGAATGGAAGTTTAAATTGAGCATAACCCACACAATCATACTCAACATGGGATTTACCTGTTATGCGTAAATGTGATGACCATTTGGATCCAAACAAATTGTTCTGTTATTTGAAAATCTTTTATTTTATAAAAGAACGGGGATTTTTCAGTTTATTTTTGTTTTGCGTATGTTAAAAAACAAATATTTTGAAAAGAAAATCAACCATTAAACTAAAATCATAAAATGGAATTTAGCCTTTCACAAGTTATTTTTACAAGTTATATCCGGCTAGCCTCTTTCAGGTTATTTTTACAAATCATACGACAAATGAAATCATGTTTTCTGGATCAATTGCTGTAGTGCATAAATTCTGAAGGTTTAACATTTGGCATTAGATTACTTGTTTTATTTGATATATTTTATTTTCTGACCTGTTTAGCTCAAATATTTTGGTTCTCTTTCATCCTTCTGAAGTATGACTACTTCGTACTATTTCTGTTTGCCCTTTTCATTTGAAGTTTATCTTCCAAACTTACTTTTGTTACATGGTTAACATGGCATATGCTTCAAGTTATCTTTTTGAATTTTTTGTTTGATCAACANCTATCAAGTTTGAGACTTATTTTTTTGAAAGAATTACACTTTAATCTCCTGAAATTTATCGCTTAATTACTCAAACCCTCTTATATTTGAAATATTACATATAAACCCCCTAAAATTTATACGCGCGTAACACTTATACTCCGTAAATATATCCGTTAATAAATTATATCTAAATCCCCTTGAAGTTTATACGCATATAATACTTAGACTTCTTAAATTTAAAATGTTATATTTAGACCAAAAATATTCTAATCAAAGATAGAATATCAAATATTTTAAATTTTAAAATCAAAATTAATGTTCTATTATATCATTCATTGAAATAAAATAAAAAGTAAAAATTCAATTTTTTTTTTTAAAAATTATAATTAGTATACAATTATACTATCTATTGGAATAAGACTAAAAAATCAAACAAGAGGTCTAAGTCATTTTTAATAGAATATGAATTTTACAACCAAAATTCATGTTTTATTATGTCATTTATTTAAATAAAAATATATATATTTTTAAAAAAAAGCATAGTTAGTATACAATTATAATATCTATTAAAATAAAACTACAAAAATTAAATAAGGGGTCAAATTGTAATGAACACAATATCTTTTAGCTTCAATTGGGATAGTTTGGAATTTTAATTTGGTCCTTTAAACGATCAAATTAAATTCAATAAATAATATAATTGTATATTAATTACGATTTTTTAAGAAAAATTTGAATTTTTTTTTAATTTATTTCAATAAATGATATAATAGAACATAAATTTTAATTGTAAAATTTAAAATATTTAATATTCTATCTTTGATTAAAGTATTTTTTGTCTAAATATAACATTTTAAACTTAAAGAGTCTAAGTAATATATGTTTACAAACTTTAAGGAGTCTGAATATAATTTATTAATAGATATATTTATAACAAGGGTCTAAGTATTACTCTTATATAAATTTTAAAGAATTTAAATATAATATTTTAAATATCAAAAATTTTGAGCGATTAAATTACAAACATACGGGAGTCTAGGGTAACTCTCCTATTTTTTTAGGCTAAGTAACGAACCTGTGGGCAATTCGGCCATTGACACTAGGGATGACAGTAGATCGAAAAAAAATGGGTATTCATTCAAATTCGTCTCGTTTGGATCAGGGATGGACTATATGTATTGGACGGTAGACGTATACGGTGATACCCGTATAAACCCATGCAGGAATGAAAGCGGAGATAGACTTACCCCTACCCCCGACCCGTCCCCGTCACCGTTACCTGTTATATATATACATATACAAATATCAGTATGACATTATTAGTTACATCTGTAAATCTTGCATTAATAATTTTATAATTTAAAGTTAAAGTTAACATTAATAGTTCATGTTTCACTGTAGTATAATTTAAAGTTAGCATTAACAGTTGTGATAATTTTATTTAATTATGAAAATATTGTTCATTATTATTTAAATTTTTTGTTTGTTATATATAATGTTGTTGAATTATGTTAGCTTGAATTTAGGCTTGGACTTGAGTGGATACGGGAGAAGTAATAATAAAAATGAGGTTAAAAATTATATTCGCTAACAAAAATAAATCGAAAATGAACAAAAAATTTTTTAAGCCGGTACGGAGACGTAGAATGTTCCCCGCCTCCGCTGCGGTCCATTAACATCTCTAATTGACACCCCTCCAGTACTCCCGCGCTAGAAAGAGACTCTGCGGCGCTGGAACGCGAGACGTGATACAGGAGGCCTTGAGTCTTGACCGTTACAACCCATCACAAAAACCACAAGCTCAAAATCTCTTCTGGATATCTCTTAGAACCCTAAAATCAAGATCAAGAAAAACGAAAGGTATGTCTTTTTATAAAAAAAATCGTTTTTCTTTTGATTGGGATATGCGTATTTCACTGATGATCCAATGTCTTGCTTGTAATCCCCAGAAGATTTTTACTCTGGCTCTGTGAATCTCTGTAGTTTTACTATTTCTCTTGATATTCTTGAGCTTGTGGGTATCGTTGTGCTAGCTTTATTGATGTTTTGGGGTTTAAGTATTTCTGGGGTGGATATGTATGAAATTCATGACAGTATTAACTTTGTTAGTTGTTTCTGTATCATATTAAGGTTTTTGGGTTTATGTTCTTGCTGACTTCTTGTTTTTTTTTTTTGCCTTTTTTCAATTTTTCCTTTTTTATGGGATTTCATGTTCTTCAAGAGTTTTATTTAGGCTTTGTTGTCCCTTAATCAATGTCGGCACCATGTATAGAAGACAGGTTAAGTGCTGTAGAGGGGAGATGTGCAGAGAGAAAAGAATGGAAGTTTAAATTGAGCATAACCCACACAATCATACTCAACATGGGATTTACCTGTTATGCGTAAATGTGATGACCATTTGGATCCAAACAAATTGTTCTGTTATTTGAAAATCTTTTATTTTATAAAAGAACGGGGATTTTTCAGTTTATTTTTGTTTTGCGTATGTTAAAAAACAAATATTTTGAAAAGAAAATCAACCATTAAACTAAAATCATAAAATGGAATTTAGCCTTTCACAAGTTATTTTTACAAGTTATATCCGGCTAGCCTCTTTCAGGTTATTTTTACAAATCATACGACAAATGAAATCATGTTTTCTGGATCAATTGCTGTAGTGCATAAATTCTGAAGGTTTAACATTTGGCATTAGATTACTTGTTTTATTTGATATATTTTATTTTCTGACCTGTTTAGCTCAAATATTTTGGTTCTCTTTCATCCTTCTGAAGTATGACTACTTCGTACTATTTCTGTTTGCCCTTTTCATTTGAAGTTTATCTTCCAAACTTACTTTTGTTACATGGTTAACATGGCATATGCTTCAAGTTATCTTTTTGAATTTTTTGTTTGATCAACAGTATGCTTTCAAGTTTTGTCAATGTATTTTGCGACGAGTCAGTTTTTTGAACTTTGGCCTTTTCATCTGGATCCGAGCTAAATTACTTGTTTAGTTCTTGGTATAGACTGATGAGTAAGGACCAAGCATAGAATCGAGCTTGGAAGTTCTGTTGTTTGACAATTCAATTCTTTAGCCTTTTCTCCCCTACTTTTTGAACTCAAGTCCAGCCGGTTCATATACCCTACATCATGTGGAGCTGGACTAAGAGCGAGGAAGGAAAATTAAAAGACCTTAGTAGGAATACCCTTGAAAGTTACCTGTACTTTTGCTTAGCTGAACATAATTTAACAGGACAATTGAATTCAATTCTCATTAATATTTTTGGGTTTTTTAAGCACATATTAGCCACAAAGAACATTGTGGTGCTTGTAAATCACAAATACTATTGCTGTGGATAATAAAATATTTTTGGGTAGAAAATATTTTTCTAGAGGGAAGGATTGCTGCACCTGGACCAACAATTGATACATGGGAACGGGTGTGGTCACAAGGTAAAAGAGAGATGACCAGAGTGAAAAGTCCTTCCACGATTGCACTGTTGCGTCATCCAACCCATTGGTTGATAGAACACTAAATCCTCCATATTCTTCTTCTTCTTAATGCTTCCCCTCATCATGCTAAAAGAACTTGAAAGTCACTGTAGACTTGTCATGCAAAGTCTGGCAGGATCCGAATGAGAAGTAGAAGAATAGGACATATTCAGAGATTCAAAATTTAGCTTAGCAAGCCCATCTGTTTGGACGGCACCACTTTCAGATCACAGTTTCACAACCTGAATGTGAGATAGGCAACCTTGTACGCAAATCTTCTGACTGTAGTGTATTTCCAATTTGTGTTTCTTCTTGGCTGCTTGGGAATGTCACTTGAGTTTAAGAAATCTATGATTGTTTGCCTATCTCTCTGGTGCACTTATCAAACTAACGCTCTTCATGCACCTGTTCTGTCCTTCAGTGCCAGTTGCGTCATCTGATATTGAATATTCTCTAGGGACTCAGGGCAATGGATGCTGTGCCAGTGCAAAACATGTCCTCTACTATAGCTTTGCGGCAGCCGCACAAAGACCAAGGTTCAACTGTTATGACATCTGCATCCGATTCAAAGCCAAAGAAGAAGATATGCTGTGCTTGCCCGGACACCAAAAAGCTGAGAGACGAATGTGTCGTGCAGCATGGTGAAGATTCTTGTTCTAAATGGATCGAGGCTCATCTGAAATGCCTCCGTGCCGAAGGCTTCAAAGTTTAAAAATGATGACAATATTGGACTCGATGAATTGGTGAATAATACAGTCTTTTAGAACAGCCTTTTTAATTTGGGAATATACATACACCAGATGATTCTCATCAACGGTTCATGAATAAACCAAAGGCAGCTTCTGTTGACTCGTGACTGTGGCATGAAAATTTTATGTTTCATTTACTTCTTTATTTGTGAGTTTGGGCATTATTCGTCTTTCTAATATTATTACAATGCTCAAATACATTGATGGCTTAAATTTTAGATATTTATGATAATTTCAATTATTTAGCTGGATTGCAGACATTCGTTTCATGCTTTTGAATAAAGAGACAAGGTCAAGAGATGTACCTTTCCTTTCAAATACCCTTCTGAGTTTTTAAATTGCTTCCTGGTCACCTGTGCTTATGCGCATCCGTGTTGATACCAGAGCTTAGGGATGTAGTCATTTTGCATCATCTATATGATTCAATTTTAGTTACTATGTTGCTGGGACTGTTGGGTGCTTTCCATTACTGTTTACTGGAGTGGTAGTGCTTGTTTTTTGCTTCTTTACTAAACCTAGGTCCTGGGATGCCAATGTAATCTTTAGTAGTTTTTGGAGTCAATAATGAAGGAAAATTTTATCAGACTGTTGGCCAAGTTTACTTTTGGGTTGTCTGGTTTTATAATTGCAGTAGGTCCTGAATTTGCAAGATTTCGGGCAAAAAAGGAGAGAATACAAAGAGCGAGACCACATCTAGAAAGCACAGAATTGTCACTGGTGAGGACAGAAACTGTAGAGTGTGGTGGTGAAACCATCTTTAAATGCAGTGAGCACATGATGGCATGAACTGTATGTGAGCACTGGTTTCTGTTAATCTAGTGGGTGAAATTGCCTCCTGAGATCTTGTTCCTTTAGTCTTTGCAATTACAGTTATTAGAGATAAATGGAAGATCAGTCAGTGCAAAAGTTTGAAGAGGGACAGATGTATGTAGTTTTATTCTGACTGTGGAGAAACTATTTTTGTGATCCGAACTTGGGGTGCCATGGTCGGGACAACTTCAGGATCGTGTCAAGACGTGTATCAGTTATTAACAGATGTAAAGACTAATAAGTGAGACAAACAGCAGATTACATATAAACAGTAGTGTATTTAACCAGAGTCACAGATGTGAGTCGTGACCATTACACAGCTATGAAGGAAACACACACACACACACACTTTTCACTCCACAATCACCATGGCAAGCACCAATACAGATGACATTAACTTATTATTCTTCTCCACCACCACATTATTTTATAACCCAATAAGTTGGCAGTACTACGTGTAATCAATGACCACAGGTGCAAGTGGTGCAAGAGCAGTTCGGACCGCACTTGCACTTGCCATCGTTCTCGTCTGCTGGACCATCCATCACAACCGTCTCGATGTAGCTGCAAAAAAAACATTTATCATCAGCATCACTGGTGTTTCTGGCAAATTTGTTGCCTATCTTACAAAACCAAATCAGTTCTTGGGCAATGAAGGTACATACCTCTTATCAGTCTCAATGACATGGACGTTTCCCTTCTTTCTGCAATTCCATTACATGTGTTTGTCAGAAACAAGCTTGTGTACTACCTCGNGTTTGGGCATTATTCGTCTTTCTAATATTATTACAATGCTCAAATACATTGATGGCTTAAATTTTAGATATTTATGATAATTTCAATTATTTAGCTGGATTGCAGACATTCGTTTCATGCTTTTGAATAAAGAGACAAGGTCAAGAGATGTACCTTTCCTTTCAAATACCCTTCTGAGTTTTTAAATTGCTTCCTGGTCACCTGTGCTTATGCGCATCCGTGTTGATACCAGAGCTTAGGGATGTAGTCATTTTGCATCATCTATATGATTCAATTTTAGTTACTATGTTGCTGGGACTGTTGGGTGCTTTCCATTACTGTTTACTGGAGTGGTAGTGCTTGTTTTTTGCTTCTTTACTAAACCTAGGTCCTGGGATGCCAATGTAATCTTTAGTAGTTTTTGGAGTCAATAATGAAGGAAAATTTTATCAGACTGTTGGCCAAGTTTACTTTTGGGTTGTCTGGTTTTATAATTGCAGTAGGTCCTGAATTTGCAAGATTTCGGGCAAAAAAGGAGAGAATACAAAGAGCGAGACCACATCTAGAAAGCACAGAATTGTCACTGGTGAGGACAGAAACTGTAGAGTGTGGTGGTGAAACCATCTTTAAATGCAGTGAGCACATGATGGCATGAACTGTATGTGAGCACTGGTTTCTGTTAATCTAGTGGGTGAAATTGCCTCCTGAGATCTTGTTCCTTTAGTCTTTGCAATTACAGTTATTAGAGATAAATGGAAGATCAGTCAGTGCAAAAGTTTGAAGAGGGACAGATGTATGTAGTTTTATTCTGACTGTGGAGAAACTATTTTTGTGATCCGAACTTGGGGTGCCATGGTCGGGACAACTTCAGGATCGTGTCAAGACGTGTATCAGTTATTAACAGATGTAAAGACTAATAAGTGAGACAAACAGCAGATTACATATAAACAGTAGTGTATTTAACCAGAGTCACAGATGTGAGTCGTGACCATTACACAGCTATGAAGGAAACACACACACACACACACTTTTCACTCCACAATCACCATGGCAAGCACCAATACAGATGACATTAACTTATTATTCTTCTCCACCACCACATTATTTTATAACCCAATAAGTTGGCAGTACTACGTGTAATCAATGACCACAGGTGCAAGTGGTGCAAGAGCAGTTCGGACCGCACTTGCACTTGCCATCGTTCTCGTCTGCTGGACCATCCATCACAACCGTCTCGATGTAGCTGCAAAAAAAACATTTATCATCAGCATCACTGGTGTTTCTGGCAAATTTGTTGCCTATCTTACAAAACCAAATCAGTTCTTGGGCAATGAAGGTACATACCTCTTATCAGTCTCAATGACATGGACGTTTCCCTTCTTTCTGCAATTCCATTACATGTGTTTGTCAGAAACAAGCTTGTGTACTACCTCGAATAATTGAAGCTTTACAGCTGATATGAAATTCTTCTCAAACATAGAGGCCATGTTTGAAAGAGATATAGATGACTTTAATTATCATAATCTTGATTCACATGCAGCCATTTTTGCTGCAAAAAAAAGACTTTGGAGATACTAGTAGAATGAGGTTAGCGGAACCGCCCTTGCTGCTGGACGGGTTTGAACCTCCCTCACAGTAATAGTTTCTGACCCAAAAAAAGAAAGACACCACTAGAATGCATAAGAACTATAGAACCACCGTGTCCAACATGACAAGCATATGTTGTTAGTTGAGAAACATGATTTAAACTCACGTTTTTCATGTAAGCAATGGTATACGTTAGAGATTAGTAAATAGAAGTGAGTATAAAAATAACGATAATTTGTAAAAAAAACTCCACCATAATGCACATAGCCATTTAGCAAGAATAGGTACTATACACAATAATAGTAGAACACTTACACGCACTGGCTCTTGTCAGCACAGTTGCAGTCGCCACACTTGTCTGACATGGTGAATACAGAGAGTTTGCTGGAAAAGAGCAGAGAAGTTTTTGTAGCTGGTATGAATTGCTATATCTCCAAGCTTTCTCCCTTGGTCTGCTATTTATAGATGGAAGAGGGGGGGGGGGGGCAATCTTGGAATGGCGCAAAAGGGTACAGGTCCACCCAAAAAAATGGGTCCCCAATTGGTGTGTAAATGAACCAAACCGACCCGAAATACTATTGTTCTAGTTCAGCTCATTCATTTTCAAAACAGGTTCGTGATCATTTTTATGATGAACTTTGGCTTGTCGTGGCTCGACATATTTGATAAAATTAACCGAGCTTGAATGTAAATTCTTGTTTAAAGTCAAGTGTGTTCAACATCAAACTCAATTCATTTGAAATGGATTGTAAAATTGATGTTTATCTCGTGATTCATTGCATAAATAAATGAATTACGAATAAACTTTAATCCGAGCTATTTCAAATCATTCCTGAATACCCAATAATACATTTGCCGTCCTAGTCACTGAGAAAAGTCCGAAGGAATCTTCATAATGGATGGGTTGGCCTCATATCACCCTCATCTCTCTTTTTCACAATGACCATTCATAGATATTTCTTCTCACAGTTTGGCAGGGTTATAGCACCCCAACACCACCTCCCCCCGGGGGCGGCCCTCCCTTCCACCAGTTGCAATTTGCCCACATCTCCATCACTGGCATGCTAAGTGCTAGCCAGGTTCGTTTCGAGTGAGACAATTCGACTATCACCCAGTCTATTATTTATCTGATTGGGCCATGTTTTACAAGATTATGTATTTATGTGTATTTATACATGCGCGTGAAATTTTGCGTTATAACATGAGAGTCTTGTGCTTTGTGTTTTATGTTTTATGAATAGGAATAAGATTATCTATCATTCACTTCTCTTAGACCCCACTATAGACGAGAGTCTTGTGTATTTAGTAAGGTTATGTTAAATGGAGAGAAAGACACCCTTAAACTTGGAAATTATTTAAATTTCAAGTGTTACAAAATTAGCAAGCCAATATTGTGTGGTGAAGCATGTCCTTAATAGAAGCAACACATATCCTTAGGATGATTTAGTGGTTGAGTCTGATCTTTAGTAACTCAAAGATTTTAAGTTTAGTCACTTTTCACACACCCTAAGAGCTAGTCACTCTTGTCTTCCTCCACCACTTATCATTTATAGTTAGGGTACATGAAAACTGCTTCCCAGAAGCTTCATCTGAAGTAAAAGTCTTGCTCAAGCTGTTGCTTCATTGCAAATCCCAAAGTCTTTAGCCCTCTTCCAACTCATCTTTTATACTCTGTTTAGGCAATCAGTGTNGTCCTAGTCACTGAGAAAAGTCCGAAGGAATCTTCATAATGGATGGGTTGGCCTCATATCACCCTCATCTCTC